CCCCCCCCGGGATTTTTCGAGCACGTTGAATGGACAAACGGCCGATCGCCTTTGCCAGGCTCAGAACGCGAGCCCTTGACACTTTTGCCATTAGAGGAGTTGCCAAGTTGCATGCTAGTCGTGCTGTCCAGAGACGCTAGGCCTAAGACAACTCGCCAGGCGACAGTGTTGCTTCTGTGCTTGGTGCTATTACGTGCGGTGTTGGATTTCTTTCGAGACTCGGCGACACAGGAGCGGCAAGTACGTCAGGGGGATCATACCGGGCCGCTGAACTGACAAAGCATAAAAGAGTACGCTGAACTCCCGAAGTACTCAGCGTGTAAGGCAGGGGTGAGCATGCCCGGAATCGATCGAGGTTTGTTCAAGGTTCTAAGCGCAAAGCAGCAATGTAACTGTTCAAGAAAGCCAAAAGCAATCAAATATTATGACTAGGTAGGCGCGTGCCCGTAGAGGTCGACCTAGCCAAGCCCAATATCAAGGTCTCTTCACGAGAGACATGCGACGCCAGCATTCTTATGTGCCCGGTTGGCTTTGTCTGTGCAATACTTTACGGAGCAAACCAGAGGACCGCATGCTTTTGTCTCGACGACTATCTTACTCGACTCTAAAAGCGAATCTCAGAAGAATGAGGACCCATGCATTACTTTATGAACTAGGACCCGAAGAACACGGTGCCACCCACCTGCCTATTAAGTGAGCGGCGCCAGGTAACGCAGAACAGTGCCGCGCACCCCATCAATTGCGCCAAAAAGTTGTCCACTGGTGTACACCTTCCGTCTTCTATATCCGTAGGGACTCAGAAAGGACGGCATATCCACACTGCATGAAACGACACCAAGAGCCAGCCCCCAGCTCTGGTGCGCCCCACGACAAATAAGCCCAACAGGTCGTTTCAAGTCGTCGGAGCCTAGGCGTTGATATGCGTAATGTAAGTTTGGTCTACATCATATAGGACGGACGACAGATCCGAAATGTTCTTGTCATGGGTGACACCATGCTTGTCAAATAAATTAGCACCTGCTAGACCAACTTAACACCTGGGTGCCTCTCTGTCGCTACATGGATGCTGTCAGCGGGCTCGTGGAGTGTGCTTCGACGTTGGTTGGCACGGCCCTAGTTCTCGGAAGATCAACGGCCAGGGGTTGTGACGCCCTTCTGCAACTTGGGTGGAAGAGAAGGTGGAGGGCCCAGGAAGATAACGCCAATCGGGGCGTCGCTTAAGGCGGGAAAGACCCAAACAACACGATCCCTCGGGCGAGAGACGTTCTGCGGACGTGGCCTCCGTGTTGTCTTCCTGTCCACCTCCTGCCAAAGGAGCATCCACATGATTCGAGTACTGGACGTGGCAAGTCGAGTCGGAAAGCTACTAAATATGATTGTTTCGTACTCGGAAGCACCAGGAGAGGAAGACTATAATACGGACATTGGGGATCATCAGGGGAGCCCGCTCCAGGCTAAAATGGCAAGGCGTGTGGGGATTATTGCGTTGCTAGCCCATCCTAGGTCACTGTCAATGAAACGCCCTGATAGGCAAGTAGGGTATTACCTGTACCTAATTACATGTAGTAGAAATACGGAGTACGGAGCCGAGGTAGGTTTGTACCCATACAATTTCAGACACAGGCCTTGTTTGTACCTTATAAACCGTCTGGCAGAGAAGAGTATTGAGCGATTGCAGAACACATTAGGTTAAATGCACAGGCAATTTTTCTTCATCTTTTCAATGATACCAATGATATTCTTCCTTACCTTGCCTAGTACCATCAAGTGTCAAGAAATAATTACAAATAGGTAGGTATTATTATAGCCTAGGTGTGTGCATACCTCACTGCCGTCCTGTGACTCGCGCACCCTGCTCTTACTGGCTGGTCGTAAATAGTCGTGATTGATTGGGCCTTAGACGACTGGGTACCCACTCTGCCAACGAACCACAGAGCCCTATTGACCTTCGTCCGAAGTACGTGTAAATAAGGTAAGGTACTCTACATATTCGTATGTATGTAAACTCTGTACTCCGTCCTGCGGTTGGCATCAACATGGCGGCTTTCCTTCCCCCTCGTCTCCGTTCGTTCACTCTTCGCTCCCATATCTTTCCTCTTATCTCGCCGGAGCCTTCGGAGACATATCCGTACAGTCAGACTTGTATTTATCAGGCAGCCACTGACAATATATACGCAACCGCCGAGGCTCCTCCCCCCACCCCACCTGCCTGTGAATGGGAAAGTTTCAAGGTACGTACGCCACGAAGTACCACCTAGCATCTCACTTTTGAATTACAACGTACCAAAATCCCCGCCCATCTACCATTCCTAATATGCATTATAGTACGTTGTACATCGGATCTCAGATCTGTCTAGCCGCATCATACAAGTTATACTTGCTTCGGACACAGGAATAAAGCTTCTATCCATACTTATCCCCGAGGTCACCTGTTCTTGTTCTTGCATACGACAATTGATACCCGCCAACCGGGGTTCTACCGATACCTTAAAGATCTTGGAAGGAACCTAGCTACCTACGATCAAGACTTCCACCAAAGCAATCATTTTATCTCTTTATCTCTGAATGAATGAACAAGTCCTCTAGTCCACCATCGCCTCCTCTAGGTAGTGCGCCACCATTACCATTACCACCTTTGGTATTTACATTCACACCTGCACCGAGCACACGAAAAGTCTTGTGCTTTGCCTACGAAAATCTGCATAAACTCTTCCTCGAGTCGACTATTTCTTGTTGTTACACGGTAACGGAACTTTGACGCTTTCTTATATCTCGTCCGGATATCTCACGGTATTACTTTATTTACCCTCGAAATTCATCATTCATCCACCACGCGTCAAGTTATAAGGAGTGAAACTAGCAACACCTATCAACACTCAGTCAAAGGCGTTATAGTCCTAACGCCCCGCCATTGACTGTCCTTTTACTTTCTTTTCCAAGGGTGGAATTATATGAATCCATCAACTTTTCATCACTTCGTTATCTCTTTTCAGTATGACTGATCCAGACCAATGCATCATATGCCTGGAAAGTTTGGAGCCTGCAGCTGAGGATGTGGGTGTGGCCGACTCGGAAATGGCGGGTGACCCTTCACCATCCAAGGAAGCACGTTCTAAACAATCAGCCCCAACGTCGCCACCAAGCCAGAGATGCAAAGCATCGTCTTGCACTCACCCACACAAACAAGCTGGCTTCAGTCCTCCCGATGAGAACACCTTCATCGCGACACTCGTTGGCTGCAATCATGTTATCCATGATCGCTGCATTAGGAGCTGGGCCAACAACTCCAACACATGTCCCATTTGTCGCGCCACCTTCAATGAAGTCAAGCTCTCCACCAAGATCGATGGTAAGTGCGATATCATTATTTCTTTCCCCTCCTTCGCTTGTTTCTCGTCTTCGCTTCCTCTGTTCCCCTTCCCCCATGGGACTATGCTCTCTCCGGACATCGACGTCAGCTAATACGTCGACAATCAACAGGCCCCATAGTAGACTCATACCCGGTCCAAGACAAGATACAGACCCAGGAGTTCGACCTTAGCGAATGGCTCCAGGAAAATCCCGACGAATCCGAGGAAGAAACGCCATGTCCCATTTGTGGCACGGCTGAACGCCCCGACATCCTTCTGCTTTGTGACGCCTGCGACGCCGCTTATCACACCCACTGCATCGGCTTGGATCACGTTCCCAGCGGCTCGTGGTACTGTCTCGAGTGTGCCGATCTTATTGATCCTCAGCTCTCTCCCGACAACACTTCCGACTGGGAGACCCAAGTCACGTCGGGTCGTTCTCGTGGCAGGTCCAGCGGGAGGCCGTTTACCCGAACTCGCGAGCGGCAGAGGCGAGCCCGTCGCCAGGCTCGATCCGTCGAGTGGCAGGGCGCTTGGGGCCGAATTGCGGGCCGCGTTTTCGACGCCACGAATATTGACCTTGATAACCATGAGGACGACGATAGTTTCGAGGGGTTCCGGCGGTCCCTGCAGCAGCGCGAGCGGGAACTTCGCGAGTACCAGCAGTGGGAACGGCGCCTCGCCATTGCCAGCCGTCAGGGAGCTCGGGAGACCTTTGCCATGGGCATTCCCAGGGCCATCGGCGAACGACTGGATATTGCCCAGCCTGTTGAACAAGAAACCCCCGAAGAGCAAAAGGCCTGGAACGAACTCGACAGAATCAGGGAGACCGAAAACCCCGGTGCCCAGAACAGGCGGAAGCGCAAGTCCGCCACATCGTCTCCACGCGAGCCTGCATCGGAAGAGCCGCAACGAAAGTTGAAGCGACCGCGCACTCGCCGACTTGTTCTGCATGGCGAGGCATCAGGCTCTGGCATTTCGGGTTCGGGAGCTGCGTCAGCCTCGGCCACGTCGTCGACCTCTACCGTGCCACCTGTTCCGCAAGCACAACGTAGCGCCGAAGAACCCTCGTTCCTATCATCATTGCTCCGCGAGGTCGAGACCGGTCCACCGTCCGACGACGAAAACGGCCGCACTTACTTCAGCTCGGGATATGGCGTGGAAGCATCGTCCCCAGCAGCCTCGCCCGGCGCCTCATCCCACAATTCTCCGAGAAATCTGTCTCTTACACCACCCCCGCTCCCTAGACCAACTTCACCGAGCACACTGAGCTCGCATATCGAACCAGTCTTTCCCAAGGCCAACTACTCTCCCGCCCGCTCAGCCGGCGAAACCAGCGATTCGGATAATCCCCCCCGCAGCATGGCCCTCGAGATACGACATCCCCGCCCTCGCAGGCCCGATCGGAGACAAGGGTCCCCACGACAGGCTCGGTCTCAGGACAGCTCGCCGACAAGGCAGGACATTACCCTGCGGGCGAAGGAGAAGATCAACGGCATCGTCCTAGCCGCGCTGAAGCCACACTGGCGAGCTAAGAAGCTCACTGTGGATCAGTATTCGAACATCAACCGCGATGTTTCGCGCAAGCTCTATGACAGCATTCGTGACGCTTCGGCACTGGACGACGACGCCGGCAAGAAAAATTGGGAAAAGGTGGCTGCGGAAGAAGTGGCTCAGGCGATTTCGGGTTTGAAGGCTTGATCGAGTGGCTTTTGCTGCCACGAAGAGATATTTCAGGCGTTTGGGAGGACCAGGCGGACAACGGACAAAGAGCACAGAGGCGATATAGATACCCAGGTGCGAATCATTTGAGGCATGGTGCCCTGGAATTTTCTCGGGACCGGGCGGAACTGATGCTTATTATTCCCTGTATGCCAGGGCCACGGCGGCTTAAGTTCAGGTTCTGAATTCGAGTTACGGAGTATGGTATTTTATGGACTGTATATCTTGAGTGGTTTTCGCGGGTGTTTATTATGAAGGTAAATAGACGGAAGACGACAAATATCATGAAGAGGCTCTAGGACACGGGGACTCGAGGTTCGGAACGCGTAAGCGGGTGCTTCGTTTTCTCTCCATTGTGATTGTTCGCATTGAGCCTGAGGGCACGCAGTTTAGCTAAGAGGTCTCTCGCCACTCGTCACGAAACAAAAGCAAGGTAACCAATGCGGTCAAGGAACAGGGCCCTTATTGTTGCAAGCTGACCGAAAGCTTCCGCGTCGGAAGGATACCAGATTTGCAGCGAGGGGATTGCGTCTTGCAGGCAATGTCAGCAGAATCTATCTAACAGCAACCCGGTGGGTACGTAAAAACGGCAGGTACCGCTAGCGAAATAAGACTGCTCTCACTCTGGGCACTCGAACAATGATCAGGACGTTCTGGAGGAACAGGTCTTGACGATAAGGTTATGGTGCCCATATTGGTGAAAGGGGAAAGAAAGAGGGAACAAATCGCGTCCATGGCAGATTTTGTGTGTTGGCGCGGGCTCGGGGCTGGGCTTCTCTTGGTGCCTCAGGCACAAATCTTCGTTACATAATTCGATGCTAGGTTATGTAAGCTCGAATTTCTGGGCCACTGCGCGGTACGTACTCGCGACAGATCAAACGGCTGCAAAAAAGTTGATTCCCAGCATCCATCTTCCCAACTCAATTCGAAGCACGCGAGTAGAGAGGAGCGAAAGCCCGCTCCCCTGCCACGATAATAGCCGGATATGTCAGCCTCGAGTAGGGGAGCGAATATTGTTCGTAGTATTCTGCGAAGTAAGAACATCCCTGCGTGTCTCGTTGTTGAACGAAAATGCTGATCTGGGAACGAACTCTTCTTCTCATAGCACCCTCAGCATCCCCCAATGTGTGCAGACGATGCGCTAGGGGCAGCATTCAGATTCGATTCCCGGCTGCGAATGCGTTTTCCTTACCATCCTCGCGTCCCTATTCCGGCGCTGCCGCCGCATCAGTAACGACCAGCAACACCCCGATTGACCCCCCCACCGCCTCGAATGTGCCCCTTGAGCCGGTCAAGGGCTCTGCGAAACAGCATTACCGCATAAAGTCGGGCATTATCCTGACGCGTGCTCCCCTCCTGACGGCGGAACCCACTTCCTTCGAGTCGTCTTTTTACTTCTACCAGAAGCGTCTCAACGAGCGGCTCTGCATGCCGTTTGTCACGTCCGTATTCTTCAAGCCCGACACGCCTGCGCTGATCGACTGGAACCTCAAGGTCAAGGACCGGAAAGGCACGGTGGCGAAGGAGCTGGGCATTTACAATGGCAAGGCGTCTCGGGCGTGGGACGACGAGCTCAAGGTCGGCGATCCGCTGAGCAAGTACGAGAGCCTCCACAATGCGCTGCTCAAGGATGCCGAGATGCGGGTCAGTGACGATGCCGAGATCATTCCCGAGGAGGACCGGGTGCCGGTTGAGAAGCCGCAAGATCGTGTGTCGGAGGCCGACAAGACGGGTGACGTCCGGAGGTTGGACCGCGCTATGGACAGGACGCTGTACCTGGTCGTCAAGGGCAAGGACGGCAATTGGGCTTTCCTGAGCAGCTCAGTCGCAACGGATGAGAATCTCCATGAGGTGGGCATCCCTCCCCCCTTTTCCTTTTCCTTTTCCTTTTCCTTCATCTTGTTTCTTTCTCTTTTCCTCTGTTATACGTCCCGACAGGCTTTCCGTCGGTTGGGATCACTGCGATGAACCATAGCTGACACGACACTGCAGACGGCGAAACGTGTCCTAGATCAGGGCGCCGGCGTCAACATGAACACGTGGATTGTAGGACGTGTTCCTGTCGCGCACCACGTCGTCCGCCCCGTCTTCAACGAGGACGGCACGTTGGAGTCCCGTGGAGAGAAGACTTTCTATCTCAAGGGCCGCATCATGGCTGGTCAAGCAAACCTTGAGGGGAACCCATTCGGCTACACTGACTTCAAGTGGCTGACGAGGGAAGAGCTCCAGTCGGTGCTGGAGCCGAGATACTTTCACAGCGTACGGAATATGATGGCCGATAGATAGTGTGTGAGCTGGCCAATTCAGGGTTTGTATTATACGATCTGTACTACATTGTCTCGAGCCTAGCTCTGAAGTTGCCGCCTAGCCTTCAGGCTGGGCTGTGTATTTTTGCAGCATGGGTATTTGGTTAGATTTTTTCTGCCCCTGTATAAATGATATTGTCCCACTGCCTCCGATATTTCATGCCCTGGTCTCTTGAAATTGGATGACACCTTCCATCCGGATCCGTCATAATTGGCGATAGTTTGGGTCGCGTATCTTTGTGGTATTTCTAAAGCAACTCGAGGAGAATGGACAGTGATAAGGTGCATCTCGGGGGGGAGAAGACGATAATGAAGAGATGCTAATATACCTAGGTACCCGGATACCCGTACAGGGGAACGAAAAAAAAATCGCCTCGAAAGCTGAGGATCTCCTTGCGTGAACTGGGAATCGAACCCAGGGCTCCCCGATGGCAACGGAGAATTTTACCACTAAACCATTCACGCTTCTTAGGAGTTAAAAGTTGTGCTCGCAGAACGACTAGTTGAACGGAGGTGATCTGTTGCGGTAGACGGAAGTGGATCATGCGAGTCGGCCATGCGGGACCCTACGGTAATTATACGGCAGCTACCTCAACCAAAACTACGGGGCATAATACAACGACGCCGGGCAAGCTTGGCAGCACCTACTTCTCCATCTCAGAGGGCTGGATGGCCGGTCGGCCCAGTTGGACTATCTGTCCTGGTCCGATCCGGACGGTATTGCGGCTCACATCCCAGAAACCGTCTTCCCACTCAGGGAGCCGTTGTTTCATGTTTCCCTGTCTCTTGTGGCAGAGCGCCAGGAAAACCATGGCCGTCATATAGCCTACGGACGACCGTTAGACCGGAAGCTCCACGGAAGGAGGGGCGAAGAGAGGTGGAAGTTCGACTTACTGTCGAAGCCCGCGGAATGTGCTGCCGCCTTATGGCCGTAACCATACATCACCCTTTGCCAATCAACGGCCGGTTCCTTTCCCTTCCATCTCTTGTACAAATCCTCCAGAGGGTCGCCACCCTCGATCGGGTTCTCCTCAAGGGCGAGGACTTTCGTGTCCAAGATGCGGGGGAAGAGTTCAAACAGCTGGACACTAAACTGGGACCAGGTGTTGGGAAGTGCGCCGATGAATGCATCGTACAGGAAACACAAGTCGTAGAGGAGGTTGTGGCCGACAAGAATGGGCCGGGACGATTGGAGCTTTTTCTCCCAGTTGCGCAGCTTACTCTGAAGGTCCCGCTCCAGAGCATCCTGCTGTGGTGTCTCAGAAGGATTGCTGCCGTAAACGAGCTCCGGCTGAACAAGGCCGGCGAATTTTCCTCCACAAAGCGCTTCGATGACAATGCGCAGACCAGCTTGCGTCTTCAGGGCCTTTTCAAGCTTGCGAGCTTTGTTATTGATACGCTGACGTTACAGTCAGCAACATGCTGCCATCGAACGGACTGGCAATCTTACCTCCGCGTCTGCCGCCTCATCCTTGATTTGAACCCTCATTCCATGGCTGGAATTGAATGAATAGGTTTCACAAAGCGGGTAGTTGTCGTGTATGAGTTGTCGCACGATCCGCTGATAGAGCGCATTACGACTCACGCTCTCCGTGGGAAGACATATCACGAGGCTTTCGGTGTCCTTGGGGACAGGGTCAGCTAAAGGCCAGCTTCCTTCTCATGGATAGGCAGGGTCATTACATCACCCCTCTGAGACCACCAGTCTTGGATGCTTTCGGCCGTCTCGATCTGAAAGGTTTCTGCAGCATCGTCGAGCTCCCTCGCCTCAACTGGCACGAAGGGCCGAGCGCTGTGAAAACGGCTTATGGCTCTGGCATGCTCCTCGCGGCTAAGGTAGGGGACACCCGCGTTGTGATAGGTCTCTATCCCACTCAAGGTTATTGGGTCAACTCCATGAGCCTTGAGGAACTTGAGGGCCGAGTAGGAGAAGTCGACCAGACGATCTTGTTTTGCTGCAAAGTCGTATGCCGTCCTTGTGTCTTCGAGGAACAAGCTGTTGACTTTGAAGGCGTAAGACGATAGAGTATATGATCCTACTCCTCGGCATGGTAACCAGATTAGTTGGATGAACCAGAACCTATTTCCCACCGGGGCTCTGTCTGGCTTGAGTGAACGAACCCTTGAACGAACTCTTGGAGAAACTAAGCAAGGTCAAACCCAGCTCGAGTATGTTGTGCATGGTTGCACCTTGGCGGGCAGCTGTGTAGGCCTGATCCTCCTTTGATTCGATCCCGGTGATAGAATCATCGTGGAAGGAGGTGACTCCTCCCGACATCTCCAAGTCGATGACGGCATAGTCACATTGGGCGATATTCTGAAGGATTGCAGGCAGCTTAGCCCAGAAGTTGTCAGACCCAATATTCATATTGACTACTCCTAGAGCAAAGGAAAATAAGAGGGCCAGTAGTCATCGGCTTATTGGCTCGGACTGAGATGTGGTCAGAGTAATCAATGTTGAGGTGTTGCTTCCTGTCTCAGCGGCGTTGTCCCTGGTTCAAGGTACGTGGGATTGTAGTGGTAAACTAAATACCTTGGAGAAGTTGTCTAGGGGCGATATCTATAAGGTCATAACAATAAGTTCCAGAAACTTCATGGAAGATGTTACGAATCGTTGCGATGATACAAGGGTGTTGATGGGATTGGACGTGACCACCTGAATATTGTAGATGCGAAACAGCCTTTCTATCTAGGGCATTCATTCATACCTTGGAAATTCATTCAAAGGCAGGTGTATAGGTAGCAGTTGAGACTGCCGTGTACAGATATATGTTCCAGCTGTCACTTCTTGGATCCAACTACCTCAGGGATCAACCAATTCCACAGCGTGTAGATGCTCATATCCGACAAGAGAACAGCAAGCAATTGCTGGACATCGATCCAATACAAACAGTGGAAGCTATTCCCTTTATTTTCAGTGAGAGAGCCTCTCTTCCCGATAAGATGATTCACCATGAGGGCAGTGTAAGTTGAAACAGGTCACGCTTTCCTGACGAAGATAGTAAGCCAGTGCAAACCTGGACGACTTATCTTGGATTCTTGGTTGCTTTCGACCTTGACAAACTCGTGTGCATCTTTCTACGTGTATGACTACGTTATTGCGTCTAACAGCCTCCATATTTGGGTAGATAGAAAGAAGAAAGGATCCAGTGTCTCCAACATCAGCTGCTTAGCTATTGTGATATGATGTCGGCGGAATGTGTCAATGAAGCAATCGAGTCCGGAATTATTTGGTGGGGGCACTGACATGGTGACTCCCCGCATGAAATGTACTAATCCCGATTTCAGTTAGCGTTCTGTTTCCGATCACAGGTCATTTCGTACCAGATGACAAAGCCATGAAAAGACTAGCATCTCTTAGGGGACTACTTTATGTCAAATGAATCTTACATAGAGTCCCAAGTACCAAGCTATCAGCTATCATCGGCTCAACGCCAAGATAAGCCAGCCGACACGAGGTACCGAGGCTAATCTGGCCGAGTTAACGGAAGGTAAACTACACCGTCTATGGAATGCAGAAGTCAGGCACGACACCGCCGGACAAAGACGAACAACAAACCGACAAGTCCGACCGAACATGGACATGTCGCCCGTTTTCATGGTGTAATTATTTCATTTCCGCATTGCAGCTGCTTAACAATGGCTACCATTCGACTTTCGACTAATTCATAACATTGATCAACTCTCCTTTCCCATCCCACATCACTTCTATGCTGCTCTGTTCCCAACCCGTTGATTCAACATGTCTGACGCCTCTTCCACCTCGACGGTGCGTCCCGCAGTTCGGACGCCAGACGCGTTCTCCTCCTCACACCCTCTACCGAACTCCTTATCCTCCCTGTCCTCGTCAAGACACTCCTCCTCCTCCTCTCATGTGTCCAAAACGTATAAACAAGCGTCGACTCTCTTCTTGACGCGACGCTTGCCCGAAGCCCTCTCCACCATTCTCCCCGTCATCCAATCGTCGACAGGGACCGATGATCCGGCCGATCCCGCCCCGGTGGCCAGGGCTTCACGCTCCACCAGGGTTAAAGTGTGGACGCTCTATCTTACTATACTGAACGCCATTGTAGAGCTCGATCCCGACGAGGGGAAAGAGGCCTTCGGCGGACAGGACTGGCGAGCATTGTGCTCCAAAGTCAAAGACGGCGAGGTTTGGGATGAGGTTGTCCGGTATGGATATCATGGTGTGGAAGGGGACCTTGATCCGGACGTTGTTGTAAACCTGTAAGTTTCACAAGTGATCTGCCCACAGTCCCGCGTTCCCCCGTTCCCGCCCTCGATCCCAAATTGGTCCTCCCGCTTACTCTCGGCGTCCATTTCCATAGTGCCACCCTCCTCCTCGCCCATTCCCGAACCCAGCATCTCAATCAGAAACGGCTAGAGAACTATCTCGCCGCGTCACTGGCACCTAATCTCGATCTCACCAACCGCTTCTCCGAATCGCCGAATCCCTCCGGAAGGTTCCATTCCCGTCACCGGTCTCCGGCAAAGCGGACTGGCGGCACCGACACACCACAGGACCTGAACTCTAGAGTCAAGATCCTCGAGCTCTACACACTCCATGTCTTGCCGCGGAACGAAGAGTGGGATTATGCCCGGGAATTCATCAGCATGAGCTCGATCCTAGACGACGAGCGTAGGGAAGCCTTCCTGCAAGCACTGCAGAGCTTACAGGATGACCAAGAAAAGGCGGAGCGCAGAGAGGCAGAAGCACGGCGCGAAGAGGAGGAGCGGCAAAGGCGCGAAATCGAGGAGGCCAGACGCCTCAGGGCCAAGAACGAGGAACGGGAACGCAAGAGGTTAGAGGAGCAGAGGGCGCTTCGGGATGGAAGCGAAGTGGACTATGGCGTCGAAAAGACGCCGAGCATAGCTGGGTCAAGCAAAGGATCCAAGACCAACCGGCCGAACCCGGGTACCGCGCCAGGACCCCCGGCTCCTAAGGGGGGCCTGGCCCGGCCGAGGGGCAAGACCACGACTTCGGTGCCTACGTTCGGAACTCGTGCCACCATGGTCATGTCTCGCCTGGCGGGGCTCATGGAGCAACTCAGAGCTTCGTTCCGGACCAATCCCTTGCTCTTGATGCGGTTACTAGCTTTTGTGCTGGGGCTTCTCCTCGTCTTGGGACAGAAGAACATTCGGGAACGGGCGCAGCGGGTTATCAAGACTGGATGGGACAAAATCAAGGCCACGGCGGGGATGGGAGTCAAGGTGAGCTACATGTAGCGCAATCACTTACTCAGTGATAATCCTTATGACGCATGGGAGAACGTGCCGTGCCAAACTTGTAACTACTCGTACTGTGCTCTTCAGTTTCTAATTTTTGATGTAGCTTTTAAGGTAGTAGACATGATTGTACAGTACAGCCTTCCGTTACGTCCACTGATCCTTGAGAAATCGTGCAAGCCCGAACCATTCCGAGGGTATCTGTATCAGCCAGTCGTCAATAGAAATTTCTGCCTCGCAGCCCAGTAATGGATCCTCCCCTTTGAAAACCCTCATTGCTACCCAAGACGCCAGACTCCTGATGCATGCGAACGCGGATCACTCCTCGACTGCAAGCAGTCTCTTTTTCTACAGCAATCTCCACCATGACAACCACTCCATAACAAAAAAAAAAAAAAAAAAAAAAAAAAGGCCCCGACCCGGGCTGCACTGTCGCTAGTAATTCGCCGCCCGGTTCGTTTTCTTCTGGTAGAACAAGTCTGTCCTCGAACTACCCAGGTTGATGATCTTGGGGCACCCGTCGCGGTCCTTCTCTAGGCGGGTGCACTCGAAGCAGTAGAAAGCGTCCGAGATGCCCTCGCCACCGCAGACGACGCACTTGTTCTGGTAGTTGCCGAAGCTGCACTCGTCACAGATGCGCACGAGGGTGGTGGGACGCACGTAGGAGTCGCACACGGGGCATTTGCCGTCGCACTTGTCGCAGAGGCGTCCGATGGCGATGCCGGATTGCTTGCGGCACATGACGAGGTCGCTGAACAGAGACGTGTTAGAAAATCGTTTCTTCTTGCCAGAAGTGAGGGAGGTTGAAGAGAGAGCGGGATGTCAGACTCACGGGTGATGGCGAGACATTGTGGCGAAATGTTATCGCTGACAGGTCTTGCTGCTCGTCCGGAAAAAAAAAATTAAAAAAATTGTGCCGGGTGTCCCTGAACAGGTTTGAGTATCTCCGGGATCATGCGCTCGAGAGGGGCGGAGAGATGTTGCGTTGGTGAAGTAGCTCGCGGGGAAATGGAAGATGCATTGATAGATTCTATTTTCTTCCTTTGTATCACCGGGTACCTTAGGGAGGTTCTTGATGCTGGCTGCGATGCTTATTCAGCAAGGTGCAGGTGACGTCGGTTGTCATGCTACTGTATCATTGGCTGGCTCGACTGCGATCGCCCCCGTGTGGTGGTTCTCGACGTGTCGACCGGGGGAACATCTACGTGATTACCTGTATCTCCTCCAGATCTCTCGTAACTTACCCGACGGATATCAGCATATCCTGCAGCGTTCCAGAGCCGCCGTAAAAGGTCCCAAGACGCCGACGCTAAGCCCAAACCTAGCTTGGTCATGGTCGAAATCGAAGTGGAAGAACAGAAGTAAGTCTCGTTCATATTGCGACAAGGCGGTGGGAGAACAGACTCTCTAATTACGTTCAAGGGCCACCCTACCCGACGAGGAAACCGGCTCGACACCAGCGGAAGATGTCGCTGCTCAGAAGCGCAAGGCGTCATCTCCCCCATTAACCGCCCAAGACGCATCACCATCACCCAAACGGCAAAAGATCGATGACGAGTCGGAGGATGCACTGCAGGAGACCGAAGTGAACCAAGTCGCTAACGTCCCTACACGAGCGTCGGACAATCAGGATGCGGTCCGGGAGGATGAGCCGACTGGCAGCAAGACAGCCCGACCACGAGCAATACCTTCGAAGGAAGAGGAGAAGAAGCGCGGTCAACGGCTGTTCGGCGGCTTGCTAAGCACACTTAGTCAGACCTCGAGCACCAGTTCCCAGCAGAAGCGACGCAGAGAGATCGAGCAACGACAGCAAGAAAGGGCACAGAAACAGAAGGCCGAGGGAGAACGGCGCCTCTCTGAGAGGTTAGCCGCGGTCAATGCGGTTCGGCAAGAGGAGCAGAAACCTTTCGAAGAGAAAGTGGTTGGTGAAAGTCTCAACCCCCCGGCAGATGCATTCGCTTTTTCTGCCGTCTAGTTTGTGAGGGGTCCATGTCGTCTGATTTCTTCTCGCATGTGTAGATGAAGACACGCCATGCGAACCTCCTGGCCCGGGCTCACTCTCTGCAGACCAAAGCAGAACCTCAAATTGTGGGTAGAAGAGACAGCCACTTGGACAAGTTGACAGTCCTTTGGAGCCATGTCAACACGGCCATTACGCATGTACTGACGAGAACTGGGCAGTACTACCGGCCGTGGAAGCTTAACCGGAAACAAGCAGACACGATTGACGAACAAATTTCGGCCGCCAAAGCAATTATATCAAGGGAAGTTGAAGAACTCGAGCTCCGCAAAGAAGAGTATGACAGGAGACATGGCCACCGCAGGCCTGACAACATGAAGAGGCGAGATGAGAAGCCGACGGAGGTGGTGGGAGCCGCTGATAGTTTAGCGTCCGCGCCCCCCGATGTCCATGCAAAAGCTGCTAACGCGTCGCCGGGCCATAGCCGTAAAGGGAGCCATGATAGCAAGGATCATGATGAGTCTGGCGATATCGTTGTGGAGGGCGAGGAGGATACAGTAATGTACTAATGCCATCAGATCGACGAACGTGGCAGCTTTTTCTTTCGGGGTATGCGCCGGCAACCAGGGACACGCGTTTCTTCCAATCCCCGCCCGCTCTAACATACCCCGGTCCCCCTTACTTTCATACTGCTATCCTTCTGTTCTCGATGGTCGCTTTGGAGGTTGGGACGATGTTTTTTTAAAAGATATGCAAGTGGGATGCGAGGAGATGATGTACAAGTACTCCGTACCTAGTATGGTCTGTACAGTGTACGTCCGTCCTCGCAGGTGGCGTAAGAGCGAGGATTCACTAAGGTACACGGATATCGCGTAGATGATACCGCCACCACCCACCGCCATATGATACCGTAAGGTACCTACCTATGCAAGTCAAACGTCAAGCTAGTCCGAATTGCGTGCCCTCGGCCCTTGTACCGTTACTCCGTACACTTACAACGTACAGCGTACAACGTAGCACCTTCCTAACTTGCCCCCCACAATCTTTTTGTGTCCAGACCCTTTCGCAACCCCACCGCCTCCGTTGGCATCCCCGGATCCTGGTGCATCGCTGCCATGTGACTGACCTCGTTCACATATACCTAAAGTTCAAGACCGACAGCCTTCGGTTGCTGGGTGATTTGTTTTGGGGAGCCAAGTCAAGTCAGTTCCTACGAAGTATAAAGACAAAGGACCACATCAGGTTTGGGGACGAGGAAGTACGAAATACGAGACTTGCAGCAATTGCGGTGAATGACGTGAAATCCGACGGCGGGGTATTATAAGTACGAGTATATCCAATATCCAACGGAGATGCGGTGGGTGTCGGGTTCCTTTCTACCCCGCCTCCTTTCTGTTTCCTACTCCGCTTCAGATTAAAGTCGGATATCGGCAACAGTTGTGAGCGGAAGGTGATAAACCACAGGCTCGGTTCATCGACACTTATACATACATCAAAGAAAAGAAAACAACGCTTTCAATCGTGGGCCTCCCCGGCATAGAGCGAATCGTCGGTTTGTAATCATCAGAAGACTCGAAATCCCCCTTCCTTTCTTCCCCCGGGTTATCCGCAGTCATGATGGCGCCCCCCACCAAGCTCACCCCAGACGACCCCCGCGTCGAGCGAAAGACCATCGAGGTCCGCGGCAAGACCTACGCTTATATCCTGGGCAAGCCGGAGGGCACCGACACGCCCAAAGACACCGTGGTCCTGATCCACGGCTTCCCCGATACCAGCTTCGGCTGGCGCTACCAGATCCCCTTTTTCCAGTCCCTCGGCTATCAAGTCATCGCCCCCAACATGCTGGGCTATGAAGGGACCTCCTGCCCCGAAGACCTCGAGTCCTTCAGTCTCAAGAGCATGTCCGACGACGTGGCCGCCATCTGCGCATCCCTCCTCGGCCCGGAGACCCAGATCATCCTCGGCGGCCACGACTGGGGCGGCTTCCTCGTCTGGCGCCTCGCCCTATGGCACCCGAACCTGATCCGCGGCGTCTTCTCCATCTGCACCCCGTACGCGCCGCCGACCCCGCGGCCGATCGACCTCCGCGCGCTGGTCGAGTCCGGCAGGCTCCCGCACTGGGGGTACCAGCTGCAGCTCGCCAGCGGCGAGGTCGAGGAGAAGCTGACCACGCCGGAGGACATCCGGCGCTTCCTCGCGTGCGTATGGCTCGCCACGGGGCCCAACGGCGAGCACGGCTTCTCCGTCGAGAAGGGCGTGCTGTTCGACGAGCTCCCCAAGATGGGCGAGTCGCCCGTGCTCAGCCCCGAGGAGATGGACGAGTACGTCCGCGCCTTCACCGCCGGCGGCCTCCGTGGCCCGCTGAACTGGTACCGCACCAAGAGCATCGTTTTCGAGGAGGAAAAGCCGCTCGCCGACAAGGGGCCCTGCAAGGTCGCGGTGCCGAGCTTGTTCGTGCAGGCTACCCACGACGCCGCCCTCCCTGCGTCCATGTCGGCCGGCATGGAGAAGCACTTTGAGGACCTGACCACCAAGTCCGTCGTCACGACGCACTGGGCCATGGTTATGGCGCCGGACGAAGTCAACGCTATCCTGAAGGATTGGATTGAAAGCAAGTTGTATGGAGAGGCCAAGCCCTCCTTGTGATATTAGGCCCTTCAGCGTCAATATTCCAAGTCCAACATTGGTGTTTTGGCTCCCTTCACTAGGCGTGCACCGTTGCGAAGAGACTGAGAGTTGAATCTGACAGAAACGATGTGCCATTGCGTGCTTTGAATTGGTGCAGTTTACCGGACCTGCGCACGGGTCGAGGTTCGACTCGGGCCGTATATACAGATTATTCCATCATTGCATGATGTACCCCGTTTTCAAAGCTTCTAGCTACCTACTGAGACACCATGACGTGTTGTAATACCGGCTGCATGGTCCTAAGTGTGCGTCATTTCGCCCTAGCGCATAACAGCATCCTCTGCTGCGTTCCTGCCTTGCCAGGGCAAAGGAGGTGGTTGTCGGGGGGCGAGGGCCAGACCCCGGCGGTAGAGTGTGGTCCCGCCGGACTTTGATGCCCTTAACTATACAGGTTGATTTAATCTTTTGGTCGTGGTGGAAACCATTTATCCCCGAGTCACCTGTAAGCAGAACTCGAAATACAATGCGGTCGGGCCAGGCGGGCATAGAACAGACCATCGTATGAACTGTCCCTTTCCTGGATGGCGGCAACAGCCGTCTCGAACTGTCACGACGACTCCACAATCGCCCTCGCCCTAATCCGAGACTTCACAGACTGCGCCGCAGGAGGATCGGAACAACGACCGTGTGCGGGTGTACGGGTGTACGGGTGTACGGGTTGTACCGGCGCTCTGTTTCTGCGTGTACGCCTCGGAACTCTGATTGCGACGCCGCTGGACTTCCTCGAACCACCCATCGAATCGTTCCTCCCCTTTATTTGTGTCTTGTGCTTCGCCGCATCACTTCAGCGTGTACTTCGCGCCGTCAACAGTGGGTCCGGCCCCCTTGATCTTCTTCTTGTTCGCCTTGCCGCACCCGGCGCAGGCGTCAGCCTTGAAGGCGCAAGTCTGGCAGAACGTGTGACCCTGGCTGATGCGCGTCTTGCACTTGGTGCAGGAGCTCGAATACTGCGCGTACGGGTTCCGGGCCGCCTGGGAGAGAAGCTTGCTCTTTCCTATGCCCGTCTGTCCCAGGGTGGCCGATTTCGCGCCCGTGCTGCTGCCCGTCTTGTTGGCGGATGAGGCTGACGACGAGGCGGGCGACCCGTAGTACAGCTCCGACTTCTTCTTGACGCCTGGGGTGGCGAGGGTCGTGGCGCCTTTGCCCAGTTTCTGACACTTGGAGCAGACCATGGCCGTCGTAGGTTGGGGAAGACGAAGATGAGTGTGTCGGAAATGAGGAGGAGGTCTGACGGACTGAGTTTGGGATGATTCTGGCGGTGTTGGAGGAAAGCGACGATGCGAGTCGGCGTGATGAATGGGTGACAACCCCGGGTATAGCGCCATCACGAAGTACACTAAGGTATGGAGGTATCTTGCCATCGGGACGTTGATTCGACTGAGATAAGATAAGATAAGATAGGTCTTATCTTATAAGAGACAAAGGTACAGGGAGATCAGGTGACCGTTGTGCTCTCTTTCGAGTTTCGGTCGAGTCTCCGAGGAAATCTACGGTTCATCCGAGTTTCTGGATCGCCGACATGAACGGATAATTTCTCCTGAATAATGACATTATTCGACAAACCTGAAATGACCATGACCACGGCAGTTGAACCCAGGTAGAACTAACAAGAACACAGGATTAAAGCCTGGCAGACAAAGTGGTTCTGCTACCTATATACATCCTGCTCTCATAGCTCCAGGCACAACGTTGACCGATATATACAGCGAGCATTCGCTCTCGAGTCCCCCACATACGACACCCCAGACATGGTCAAGCGATCCAGAACCACACCCTCTGTACAAAATTCTTGGGCACCGGTGGCTGATCCAGTGCGGCGAGCTCCTCCATTTCCCTGACGCCCGTGGTCACGTCAATGTCCTCCACCTTGCGAGCAAACCGAGTGCGGTACCAGAGCTTATGACCAAAGTACAGCACCAGGACGATGGGCAAGGTGATGTACGCGGCGAGGAAGTCCTCCACGTGGAACTGGCCGGGGAAGAAGAGCTGAAAGCCGTTGGTCAGGGTGAGGAGGACCAGCAGCACCAGGACGAACCACGTCAGGTGGGGCTGGAACGGGGTCTTGTAGGGGAGAGCGTGCAGCAGGCCGCGGAAGTCCATGGCCCTGCGGAAGCGCAGGTAGGTGACCATGACGACGATCCAGGCGATGTAGCCGCTGATGGTGCTGATGTTCATGAACCAGGTGAAGACGGCGGCGCCGTTGTTGTTGACGTTGAGATAGGCGAGCAGGCCGATGGACCACGTGGCGAGGATGGCGACGTAGGGCACGCCGCGCTTGGTGGTGCGCGAGCAGATCCGGGGAGCCTGGCCCTTGAGCGACATGCTGTACAGCACCCGGCTGCCGGAGTACAGGAAGGCGTTGCCGGCCGACCAGGCCGAGGTCAGGATGGCGGCGTTGATGATGTGGTCGAGGACGCCGATTCCCGCGCGCCGGATGCCGATGACCCACGGCGACGCGTTCGCGTTGGACTCGGGGTTGAGAAGGTTGGGGTCGGTGGAGGGCGTGATGACGCCGATCATCAAGGAGCCCAGGCCGTAGAAGAGGGCGAGCCGGTAGATGAAGCGGCGGGCCGCCTTGGGGACGTTGCGGCGGGGGGCCACGGTCTCGCCGGCGGCGACGGCGATGAGTTCGGGCGACGTGATGAAGGCGAAGCCGGCGCGGACGAAGGCGGCCCAATAGGCCAGGAAGCGACCGGTGTCCCCGCCCGTCATGTAGGGCTTGATGGCGCCGGGGTCGTACCAGTACAGGAAACCGATGCGGTCGCGGTTGGGGGCGCCGCCCAGCACGATGACGAGACTGGTGAGGATGAGGCCGAGGATGGTGATGAGCTTGATGCTGGCGAACCAGAACTCGGCCTCGCCGAAGACGGAGACGGCGAAGATGTTCAGGCCGAGGGTGACGAGGAGGATGATGGTGATCCAGACGGCGGCCGGGACGGGGGTGTTCCAGTAGTCGAGCAGGATGGCGCCGGCGGAGGCCTCTGCGGCGACGAGGATCGCATAGGCGTACCAGTAGTTGTAGCCGCTCGCGAAGGCGAGGCTCGGGTCCACGAATCGTTCGACGAAGTAGGGGATCGAGATGCCCTTGAGCGGGAGATACGTTGCCATCTCGCCGAGGTTGTTCATGATGTTCCAGACGCCGAGCATCATGGACAGGTATCCCATGAAGAGCGGGGCTGGCCCTACGAGGGAGAGGATGGCGCCAGAGCCGACGAAGAGGCCAGTACCGATACTAGGGAGTAGGTCAGTACTGGAGGAGACGCGATATTGAGATTGTCTGGTTTCTTTGGTGCTTGGTCGGCTAGGACCATTTTTTTTTTCTTCTTCTTTTTTCTTCTTTTTCTTCTTCTTCTTTTTTTCTTCTTCTTCTTTTCTTCTTTTGTTTTCTTTTCTTCTCAGGAGAGACCTACGCGCCACCTAGGGCAAGGAACTGGATATGCCTGCTCTTTAAGCCACGTTGAAGTTGATCATGCTCGCCGACGAGATCCTCGGTGCCATCGTGTAGGCGGCGAACGTTGACGTCTTGAGCTACGACATCCTCGTATCTCCTCGATTCAAGCTTGTCCGAGCCGGCGCTGGTCGTCTTATCGTCCTTCTCCATTCGTCTATTCTTTTGTGGCACCGGGGTAAGATTCCGTCTGTGGCTCTGACTTGGCCAGGGCAGGGAAACAGATGAATACACACGGAAATACAGTTCAAAAATGGGGGAATAGATTGGGAGAACGTGTTGAGAAAGCAAGAGACGGGAAGATCAGGAACCGTTGCCTTGCTCTCCTCGTTGAGAGCAGGACAGGTCCGCTATGCAGTTGATACCTACCTAGGTAGGAGTAAAGTAAGGTACCTAGTATAGCTGATGACCCGACGAGGCAAGACAGGTACCTTAGGTTTAAGTGTAAGGTATATGATGCCAGGTAGAGGGCGGAAAAGAGATGGCCCAAGGAGCGGCTACCTCTAGCCACCAATGGAAAAGAACCTCGCAAATAACTCTCTATATGTACTGGCTGGCGTCCTTGGGGAAACTTGACAAGGGCCCGGGAACAACCTTTGATATTAGGCTTGCTGTACGGGTACGTGTACGTCGTTCTTCCTCTTCGTCTTCGTCTTCCTCTTCCTCGTCCTCTTTTCTTCTTTTCTGTTTAGCCCACAGGCTTGACATTGAGACGGCGAGTGGTGCCGAGAAGGGCCTGTAAGGAACGAGGAGGCACTCAAGCTTTAGAAGTGCCGATCGGATCCGAGTGCGCTAGTCTCAAAGAAGAATGATCAACATTCGTAGCTGGTAAAAGGTGGGGCCTCCCCTTTTTCCAGTGACGTGAGTCAGCTCCATTATCGTGGGGAAAGTCCCAAATGGGTGGGGGGGAGGGGGCTGAAAGTTTCCACCCGTCCCGGTCTGACCATCTATTCGTACCTAGATGTCTTTGCACTTCTCAGTACGGATACTTCGTACGTACTCCGTGGTTACGTACATATGGGGTACCTGTGCACTAAACGAGGTAAACGAGCAGGCGCCGAGTTCGCTCCACACAATCCCTCACACATGAGCCGGAGGCGAGCCTCTCACCAACCCTTCCAAGGAATCCAAGTCTCCCGGACCATATCGTCCTCATCAACTACGTAGTACACATGATGGTTTGACGCCGTGATGCAAGCATGCGCAACGTGGAGAAGCACCTTATCCCCGACCTTGAACACTTCGTCCACCCCCGACAAAACACCCCCTTCTACCTCTGTTCCTTTGGTGGGGGAACCGGAAGGAGGGCGAAACGCAAGTATGCCATGCTCCTGCGACGTTCGCTGGACATACCACCCAGGCTTGCCCACGACATTACCGTAACCGGCCCAAGAGCTCGTCTCCTTGGAGATGGCGATGGTGCCCGCGTTGACAAGCGCCTCGTTCCGCTCCGGGTACAGGCTGCACACCTCCACGCACAGGCGGAGAGCCTGCTGCGCCGGGCGCACCAGGCCCGTCGAGACCTGCTGCAGGTCGTGCGCGGGGAAGTTGCCCGCGTGCAGCTCCAGCGCGACGTTGCGCGGCGCGGCCACTTGGAGGCTCCGGACGACGTGCGCGGTGGGCGTCGACCCGATGGAGACGAGCACGGCGCGGTCGGCCGGCAGCAGGCCGGCCGCCTGGAGCACGCCTTCCGCCTCGGTGCTGAGCGCGGCTTGGGCGGCGTCCTGGGAGCGGCTGCTGTACGAGTGGCCGGCGTGGGCGTAGAAGCCGAGGACGTTGACGGCCGTGGATGTCTCGGCGCGGCGGACGAGGTCGGCGAGGCGGGGCGACGAGGGGGGGATGCCGGCGCGGCGGGTGCCGACGTCGATTTTGATCAGGACGTCCCAGGGGTCGCGGGTCTTGCTTTGCCCCCCTGCCGTTGCGGAGAAGGCTTCCAGGTGGGCAATCTGCTGGTCGTGGTCGATCATGAGGACTATGCGGAGAGAGTGACGCAGCGCTGCGAGGCGTGGAATTTTGGAGGGGGCGACCGGGACGCCGTAGAGGGCCTGCGGGGTGGGGGAGACGAGTTTCCAGGTCCTTCGAATCAGCATCATATCCGCCAGTCTCTTCCCAGGAACATCTTGAAAGTTTCGAGAAAGCAGTTGACGGGTTTCATAGGTATGGTCTAATCTGGTCGAGTGTATTGGACCTGGGAGGCGTTTGGCTTTTACGGTGTACACACCTCATCTAGGATTCCTTCCTCAACAAGGGGTAGAAGACCTTCAATATCAGCCACGGTGGAGGCGACGATCTTGCGGTGCTTGCCGCCGCCAAGCATCATCCTGGTGACCTCGACAGACTAGACACTCGGTCGCAAGCGCAAAGTCAACAAAGGGGTCTTGGAGGTCGAGAGATTGAACCACGTGTGTTCAGATATCTTGGGTAGGGGTGAGATGTAGTGGGCATGCATGCCTTTAGAGTCTTGACATGAGGTCGAAACGCGATGCCCATTGCTTCGACATCTTGATGAAGCTGTGCGATATTGGCTTCAAGCACGGGTTTGCTGATAACCAGGGCTGGCGTGGGCAGGTCGGCAACCGGAGAACCAATAAAGGAGAGGTGATTTCGAAGAGAGTAGTCCATGGCGCCGAACGAATGAAACGAGGAGCCAGGATAAGGTCTTTTCCCCTATTAATCGTATCAATGAACGTCCGATCATAGACGGTGAATATCGCTAGGCAGCTTTGGTTCCTGAAGGCGAAATGAGAAGAGGAGAAGAGGGGCATGTGGACTGTGTCAAACTGGGAATATCCAAAGACGAATGACTACCTACACTAGTTCAAATAGTCTCAAAAGAGCTTGGTGAGACTGTCAGGTCAGACCCACGAAGGACGAACGGGCGATCTACGGAGTAAGTACGTTGTAAGAGAGGAGACGAGCGGGGCTCTTCTTCTCTTCTTCTCTTGACATCGATATGCCTCTCAAGGTAAGAAGCTTATGCCAACCGATAGATAGCACGTCAACGGGATTTGCGAAACGAGCGGCCTTTCTTATCCGTCGTTGCATGCGATTTTGACTGTTGATTGACCATCGATCCCTGTGTTTTGAGACATGAGCATATCAACAGGAACCGTTGAGGTTGAGGTTGAGGTCCAGGTCGAGGTCCAGGTCGAGGTCGTAGGTCAGTGGCTCAAAGTCTCTAAATCGTAACAGCGCAATCCCGTGCGCTCGACTACATTCTTTCCCTCAATCAACAAGACAATTAGCCGACCCTATCCCTCTTTTCAGTACATCGTACAGAGTACGGATGCCTAATAATAAGGCGGTCTCAGGTTTAGTTTACCAACGGTTACTAAGCTATAGTGGGTACCCTGGTACGAAGTATATAAGTTCGTTTCCTCACACCTACCCCGGGTAGGGGTGGGTATAGGTCAGAGCTCGAACAGAGAATTTTGCACTGACCAGAGCCAGGACAGAGATATCGCTGTCAACATAATGTTCTAAGACTTCGGACATCTGACCAGTCCATCGAGCTCTGACCTATAACCAGCCAAACCCGGGTAGGTAAGGTACCTTATAAATTAAGGTATAAGGGGTAGACGAAAGCAGCCATAAGAGGCCAAGGTACCTTATCCAGGTAGCTGCTTTTCCTTACCTTACCTAAGGTAGGGGGGTCTTCTTCCGTTGGCTCCAGGATCCACAGTGTAATTAGTGTACTTCATTTTTTGTCTTTCACGGCCAGTTTGAAACAACATGGGCTGGAAGTGAAGTCATGAACAAGCCATAGTAATCCGCCTCTACACATGTCCATACGTGTCGTACGTACTTCGTAGAACCATCAAAGAAGACCTAATTACGTACTGTCGTTCTATACGACCTAAGTTCTTCATGAAGATATCAGGAGAATCCCTTCAACCTCGTCCAGCCCTGTCGCACCACGTTCCTTTGTATGTTGGACCCCCTTTCAAGGCTTACGTTAGTCCACAAGGTAGGAGCTACTCCAACAAAGTACCCCAGCCCCAGGAGGCGCGTAACCAGGCAGGGTAGGTAATTAGGTACCAATGTAAAAAAAAAAAACCGCCAAAAAAGGAGGCTGTGCTGGAGGACCCAGAAGACCCAGAACATCCAAACACCACGCTTTTTCGTTACCTGTTGCCAAACCGGGGTCCAACCTACTTGCCTCTGCCTACTCCTCTGCCTACTCCTCTGCCTACCTTACCTTTCGAACCCATCCCCTTTTTACCATACCTTGACTAAAACAACCGGAACGACAGGAACAAACGAAAACTACCACGACACGATCTCTAACTAATATCGAGATAATAATATACACCGGCCACTTTGTGAATTTGAACATCCGACTTGTCCTCCGTTACTCACCTACTACACACGCTTCGATTGCCCCAAATCCAATTGCGCGTCCGGATGTCGTTTCCATCACCATCGTCACATTGATCCCTCGTTCGCTTTTACCAGCCTCCCGGCATGGCTGGCAGACCTATAGGAGGTCCCTCAGGGCCTCCTCAGAATGACCTCCTACTCGACTTGGAGAACGACCAGCCCGTGTACAGCGGAGGGCAGCGGTCAACCCTCAACGATGATGATTTGATGCGCACATACACCCTCGACCACGATCCGAGCCGTGACCCCGGCCGACCCTCAGTTTCCTACGATGACTTCGTCGGCGGCGCCGGCCAGTCAAGGCAACCAGGCCCAAGGTCGCTTCCCGCCAGTCCCTCACAATCCTCCCATACCCTGCAAGGCCCTTATCTGGCTTCCAATCGGCAATACAGCCAAACCTCCGACCTGAACAACTATCAAAGATATGCCGACGATTTCGACGACTACCCGACCGATGGCGACTCATACTATCAACACGGTGGAACTCCTTTGCGAGCCGGTGGTGCCGATGACGCCGCGAGGAAGAGCGCAAGGAATCGAAATAGTGTGCTGAGCCTGGGCGGCGGCCTCCTGGGCAGGGTCAAGAATAGACTGGGAATGGGTCAAGGCTACTCCGAGATGGATCTCCCTTTGACGGAACCCACCAGTGGCACCGCCGCCAGCGGTCATGGCCGCACGAGGGCCGATTCCGCCGGTGTCGACTCCCAGTCAAAGTCGCGTAGCAAGTTCGACTTGGGCAACTTCAAATTCGGCTTTGGCCGTAACAAACCCGACCCGTCCACCCTGGGCCCCCGAATCATATACCTCAACAACCCTCCCGCCAACGCCGCCAATAACCATGTCGACAACCACGTATCGACTGCCAAATACAACTTTGCCACTTTCCTCCCCAAGTTCCTTTTCGAACAGTTCTCCAAAATCGCCAACGTCTTCTTCTTGTTCACCGCTGCCCTGCAACAGATTCCGGGCCTTTCCCCGACAAATCGATATACGACCATCATCCCCCTCGTCGTCGTGCTTATGGCCTCGGCCGCCAAGGAACTCGTCGAGGATCATCGCAGGAAGCAGGCCGACAACGCCCTCAACACCTCGCGCGCTCGTGTCCTGCGTGGCTCGACCTTCGAGGAAACCAAATGGATCAACGTGGCCGTCGGCGACATCGTCCGCGTCGAGTCCGAGGAGCCCCTACCCGCCGACCTGGTCCTTCTGGCCAGTTCCGAGCCCGAGGGTCTCTGCTACGTCGAGACGGCCAATCTCGATGGCGAGACCAACCTCAAGATCAAGCAGGCGATCCCGGAGACCAGCGCCCTGGTCAGCTCTAGCGAGCTGAGCAGGCTCGGCGGCAGGATCAAGTCGGAACAGCCCAACAGCAGCCTCTACACCTACGAAGCCACCCTCACCATGCAGACGGGTGGTGGCGAGAAGGAGCTCCCCCTGAACCCCGAACAACTTTTGCTCCGTGGTGCCACCCTGCGTAACACGCCCTGGGTCCACGGCATCGTCGTCTTTACCGGCCACGAGACCAAGCTCATGCGCAACGCCACGGCCGCTCCCATCAAGCGGACGAAGGTCGAGAAGAAGCTCAACACCCTTGTCTTGCTCCTCGTCGCCGTCCTCATGGTTCTGAGCATCATCTGTGCCGTGGGCGACCTCATCATTCGACGCGTGCAGGGCGACGCTCTGTCTTACCTCATGCTCAACCCGACCGACAACGCCCGCCGCGTGGCGGAGACCTTCGGCAAAGATTTGGTCACGTATTGGGTCCTGTTCTCCTCGCTGGTGCCCATCTCCTTGTTCGTTACCGTCGAACTGGTCAAGTATTGGCACGGCATTCTCATCAACGACGATCTGGACATGTACTACGACAAGAACGACACGCCGGCCAACTGCCGGACCTCGAGTCTCGTCGAGGAGCTGGGCATGGTTGAATTCGTCTTCTCCGACAAGACGGGCACGCTGACTTGCAACATCATGGAGTTCAAGCAAGCCTCTATTGCCGGTATCCAGTACGGCGATGATGTCCCCGAAGACCAGAGAGCCACCGTGCAAGACGGCGTCGAGGTCGGCACCCATGACTTTCACAGGCTCAACGAGAACCGCAAGAGCCACGAGTCGGCGCCCGCCATCGATCACTTCCTGTCTCTTCTGGCCACCTGCCACACCGTCATCCCCGAGCGAAGCGAGGAGAAAGGGGGCCAGATCAAGTATCAGGCTGCCTCCCCCGACGAGGGCGCCCTTGTGGAAGGGGCCGCCCATCTCGGGTACAAGTTCACCGACCGGAAGCCCAGGGCCGTCTTCATCGAAGTGGACGGCCAAGAGCTCGCATACGAGCTCCTAGCCGTGTGCGAGTTCAACTCGACCCGCAAGCGCATGTCCACCATTTATCGATGCCCCGACGGAAAGATTCGCGTCTACTGCAAAGGCGCCGACACCGTCATTCTCGAGCGCCTGAACGATAACAACCCTCACGTGGAGTCGACACTGCGGCACTTGGAAGAGTATGCCTCCGAGGGGCTGCGGACCCTCTGCCTGGCCATGCGCGAGGTCTCGGAGCAAGAGTTTCAGGAGTGGTATCAGATCTTCGACGCCGCATCCACAACCCTGGGCGGCGGCCGGGCGGACGAACTCGAAAAGGCGGCCGAGCTCATCGAGCACGATTTCTTCCTCCTCGGCGCCACCGCCATCGAGGATCGTCTGCAGGACGGCGTCCCCGAGACGATCCATACGCTCCAGCAGGCCAACATCAAGGTCTGGGTCTTGACGGGCGACCGCCAGGAGACGGCCATCAACATCGGCATGAGCTGCAAGCTGCTGAGCGAGGACATGATGCTGCTCATCGTCAACGAGGAAACGGCCGCCGCGACGCGCGACAACATCGAGAAGAAGCTCGACGCCATCCGCACGCAGGGGGGCGGGACCATCGAGATGGACTCGCTGGCTCTCGTCATCGACGGCAAGTCCCTCACGTACGCCTTGGAGAAGGACCTCGAGAAGCTCTTCCTCGACCTTGCCATCATGTGCAAGGCCGTCATTTGCTGCCGCGTCTCGCCGCTGCAGAAGGCGCTCGTCGTCAAGCTGGTCAAGAAGTACAAGGAGGACTCGATTCTCCTCGCCATTGGCGACGGTGCCAACGACGTCTCGATGATCCAGGCCGCGCACATTGGCGTCGGCATCAGCGGAATGGAGGGCTTGCAGGCTGCCCGGAGCGCCGATGTTTCCATTGCGCAGTTCCGGTATCTGAGGAAGCTGTTGCTTGTCCACGGCGCGTGGAGCTACCAGAGAGTGGCCAAGACTATCCTCTATTCTTTCTACAAGAACATCACCTTGTACATGACGCAGTTTTGGGTATTGTCCCCCTCCCTTTTTTTCTTCTTCTCCTTCTTCTTCTTCTTCTCTCTTCCCCTTCTTTTCGTCGTGTTTCCCCTGAAATGGCATTACTGACCGATACGCAACCCTACAGTATACTTTCCGAAACGTCTTCTCCGGCACTATTATCTACGAGTCATGGATTTTGACCTTCTTCAACGTCTTCTTCACCGTGCTACCTCCTTTCGCTCTCGGCATCCTGGACCAGTTCATCTCGGCGCGTCTCCTTGACCGGTACCCTCAGCTATACACCATGGGCCAACAAAACCAGTTCTTCCGGATGAAGGTCTTCTGCGAGTGGCTCGCCAATGCCGTATACCACTCCCTCGTCCTCTACGTCTTCGGCGAGCTCATCGGGCACGGCGACCTGATCGAAGGCGACGGCAAGGTGGCGGGCCACTGGATCTGGGGCACGGCCCTATATGCTCCCGTACTCCTCACCGTCCTAGGCAAAGCCGGCCTCGTCACCAGCAACTGGACGAAGTACCACATCATGGCCATACCTGGCTCCATGGCCATCTGGTGGGTCTTTGTCGCGGGGTATGGCATCGTGGCGCCCATGACGGACCTCGTATCGCCTGAATTCCACGGTGTCATCCCCAGGCTGTACACGAGCCCCGTCTTCTGGCTGCAGACGTTCTCCCTGGCCATATTGTGTCTCCTCCGCGACGTTGTCTGGAAGTACGTCAAGCGCATGCATTGGCCTGAGCCGTACCATCACATCCAGGAGATTCAAAAGTACAATATCCAAGATTACAGGCCTCGGTATGTTTCGCTCTTTCTGCCCCCTTCTCTTGGAGACATGAAGAAAGAGAGACTAATTTAGGCTTTTTTCTTCTTCTTTTTTTCTTTCCAGTATGGAACAATTCCAGAAGGCTATCCGCAAGGTGCGCCAAGTTCAGCGCATGCGGAAACAGAGGGGTTACGCTTTTTCGCAGGCCGACGAGAGTCAGACGCGGTTGTTGCAGGCCTACGACACTACCCAACACCGCGGTAAATACGGCGAGATGGTGAGCTCGCGTCCCCAGCGCCAGGGCCCCAGTGGGAACTTGGGGTTCTAGGACTCTGGCCGCCTGTGTAAACGAGAGTGCCTTGGAGATGTGGTTGTGGAAAACTAGAGGAGGTGACTGTCATCTGATATAGCATCATGGTTCCGCATATACTTTATTTCTTCCTTCTTTTCTTCTTCTTCTTCTTCTTGTTTTCTTTATTTTTTTGTTGATTCCATGGGCCATAAACCTGACTGGCAGGCTGGCGAGCGAAACCCGGGCGAACTCCTTTGTGGGAAGGAGAACGGTCAGGAGCTGGGCCCTATTGGCGCTTCTTCGCTTGTATTAAATGGTCTCGGGGGTGTTTTTTTTTTTTTTTTCCTTTTCCTTTTCGTGATCTGGTTTGTAGAAAAGGGTTCGAATGAGACAAGACCCCACTTGCTGCTTAACGTGTCATGAAGCGTGGAAACCTGTATTTGTTTTGAAGTAAAAAATACCGGTGAGAGGTCGGGGTTTCTCTTCTGGTTGGCGGTGGACCGAGCGAGGGGAACATGGCGTGATGATGAGGGCGTTTGCTTGCGAAGGCGGGCGTTATCCACCGTACGCAGGGCCGAAAACCATCGCCGATAGCCCAGGCGTAGCCAAACCCTCAGTCGGACAGGACTCGGTCGACTCGGTTACCTGGACGTTCTAGATGTTTGTTAGTGAGCGGGGGG